GGTTAATGTTGCCTGTATTGCCATTAGTTAATGTTGCCTGTGATGTCATTAGTTAATGTTGCCTGTGATGTCATTAGTTAATGTTGCCTGTGATGTCATTAGTTAATGTTGCCTATGTTGCCATTAGTTAATGTTGCCTGTGATGTCATTAGTTAATGTTGCCTGTGTCGTCATTAGTTAATGTTGCCTGTGATGTCATTAGTTAATGTTGCGCTACGTTAAAAATCATTTTCAACTCTCGGTTCTTGTAGAATGATATACATTTCCTTATTGAACATCATCTTTTGACAGAATTTGACCGTTTCTTGGCAGAGAGAGCAGCTAAAGCTGAACAGCTACCAGTGGTGACAACGGCTGGCGAGACCCGAGCAACATCCACCACCAACTTGGCTGGAAGAAGAACCATGGGGAGGGAAGAAGAGGAAAATTCGTTTTTTGCCTTGTAAAACTGTACATAGAAATACGACATAGTTACGACTAACAAAGAAAATACTTCTCAAAATATTCGTATTTTTCTGTTAAATTTCAGATTTTTTAGTCTTCAGAACAAAGATCTGAGGACTTGTAAAACTGTAAAGTTTATAGAAATACGACATAGTTACAAATAACAAAGAAAATACTTCTCAAAATATCCGTATTTTTCTGTTAAATTTCAGATTTTTTAGTCTTCAGAACAAAGATCTGAGGACTCGTAAAACTGTAAAGTTAGGCCTAGTAATGTAAATGTATCATTAGGTATGATGAGCTTGTAGAAACTTCACATTGGCCACAACAAAATAAAATGTAACATAAAGTCACAGTTTTAGTAGTCAACAGTGTAAAAAAGTATAAATCGTATTAGCTCACGAGATCAGCTACTGGTCATAATTGATTTACCTTTTTTACGATTAATATAAACATCTGAAACCATGTATATCTTTTAACATAGAAGCTTCTGGAATGAAGTATTAGTACTAAATCAGTATTTTTCTTTGCCCTCTGTATCTTTGTACAAGTGTTAAGAAAAATACTATTATGTACTTTAAGAATATTTTAAAACATGAATTGTGCATTTTATGGATACTGGAATAATTTTTATAATGGGGGGGAGATTAAAAACTTGAAACAATTTCGAAACCATGTATTCAGTTGCCGTTATGTTTAAACAGGTTTATAAAATGAAGCCATCATCAACATGTGTTTATCTGTTAAAAGTAAAAAAAAAAAAAAAATGCCTGAACCACAGTCCTTGCTACAATGTTTACAACAAGCTTGGCATAAAATGTTCAAAACAAACAAACCGAAAAATAATTCATGTTACCCGACACCACAGGCTTTTTTAACTTCATTACGAGAAACAAACTATTCGTAAACTGACCGACGCCATATTTTCTCACGTTAAACTACTCGTAAATACCAAGCAATGGCACTTCGAGACAAGCAAAAAAAAAAAAACAGTTCATGCTTGTATCACTTTGTGTGAACTGTTAACAAACACAAAACTCTTCCAGTTCCACCAGCAGACAGCGCCCCCAGGAGTGCTGCAGCATCCCTAGTTCTTTCATCCTTGGTGCATTGTATTGAAACTAAAAAAAAAATTACTATTCTGGTCTTGATTTGAATGATTACCTTGTGTAATGTATGTTTTTTTTGTTTATTGTGAACAACTTTTTACTTAACCCCAGTGCTTTGTTGTGATTGGATGACCATGCAGGGGTGTGGAATTTGGTTTTAGAAAATTTTTTTCACCTTTTTTAAAAACATCTACTTTCCCCATCCCACAAATAAATTTTAAGATTTTGCTTTTATTTAACGGGCCTTTATATGCATAGGCCCTATTCGTCAAAATGTTGCATATCCACGAGTACAATTCCAGTAACAGCTAATTTTTGAAGTGGAGTATACCACATTTTGCATCCAAGTTACTCGTATATAGATATATATATATATAATATATATATATATATATATATATATATATACTACGTACTATTATTTAGGTTTA